AAATTAGTAAAACAGAGACTCGGAGTATGGGGTTGATGGCTAATGTCAAAGCTCCACAGCTGCGCCCCCGAGCCACCTTCAGAAATGACCTTAACTGTCTTCAGTATTAAAATCCATTGCCTAAAGGGCTGCAGAGTTGCAGGACTGTGGAGAGCCGTGCAGGGTCTCAGGCTGCACCTGCAGGGGCAGGTCCATTTCAAGTATTTATGCAAATGTGTCTCTGAACTAAAGTGTGATCTTGTGCCAATGCAGTGGTCTGATCTGGTTCACTATTTCTTTGGAAAAGGCAGAGGACCCAGAGCCCAAGGACGGAGGCTAAAACTAGGTCAGCTGACCTTGAACGCACACAGGGAAGCTGGCACCTTGCCTGGGTCTCTCAGGCCTTCCTCTTGCTGAATCCAGCTCATTCAGGCAACTCTTCATCATAATCTAGACCAGTCATTCTCAAATTCGAGCAGGCATACAGAGGGATTCTTAAAATACAGATTTCTGGGCCCTACCCCAAGTGTTACTGATTCAGTGGGTTAAGGAGGGAACCTGAGAATCTGCATTTCCAGCAAGTTCCCAGGTGATGTGGAGACTGCTGGTTTGAGAACCACTGCTCTGGTGGAAATATCCAACTCTGAGGTAACAGTGGCTGTGAGATGCCTCTGGGTTCATTATTCTTGAGAAAGACTATCCCATTCCATTCTGCAAACATACACAGCCTCCCTTTGATATACTGACCAGCCAGAGATACCAGATTCTCTGCGGACCTGAGGAAAGCTGAACCCATATCTAAGCACTGTCATCCCAACGACCTCAGTGCCTTCTCTCCACATCAGACTTTATCTCCACCTCACCACTCTCCTGGCCCCAACAACTTGCAATGGTCCCAATCAGCCCTTTCTACATGGAACTGCATCCCCCACCTGCTACCTAAACCCTACCTGAGAGCCCCAGAATCCCACCTTCCACTCTGTATCTCCTCACCTCTTCCTGGTTCAGTCTTCCATATGGTCTAGTGTAGAGGGAACTCAGTCCTTGCTCATTAATGGGTACAATGAAACAGACGACATCAAGAAGTGACACTGTAGTGAAAAGAAGGAACACATATAAATTCGCATCTTCCATTTTTCATCACTTTGACCCCTTTGTCCCTCCCTTTTGCTTTCTCTCAAGACTCACTCAAATAACTAGTGACATGGGCAGAGAGGATGCTATAGGGAGCCCTGGTGTGAGTGAGGAAACGGTGCCCTCTGGGAGGACTCGCCCTGGGAGCAGGAAACGAAATAAATTGGATTCTGGCCCCTACAGTGCCCTCAGCAGGTCGCTGCTGGTCAGCTCCGTGTGGTGCACAGCTCCACATGGAGTTAACCACTTTCTCCCTATCTGCTGACTCTAGTGAGGGGGAGGCCAGGCTTACCTAAACATAAACAAGCACACACACAGGCATGTCGATGACGGCTAGTAAAACCAGATTCTTCCTTGCCATGCACCAGTTTTGTTGAGACTGATGTATGTTTCTGCAACTCCTCATCTCCTTCCATTTCTCATCCTCCCTAGAATAAGCAAAGCCAAGCGTGTCCCCCATGCGCTGCCCAGAGCAGTCCAGCTGTGCCAACCCTACGCAGCAGGGACTGCGTTTGCCCTGGAGTTCAGCTGGCAGCAGAGCTGCCGATGTGCAAAGCAGAATGGAATCCAGCTTGGCTCTTCCTTGCTGTGTGGGCTCGGCCAGGCTCACAGAATACATACTTGTTTGTGTCTGGAAACTCAACAGCTGCAGTGCAGGGACTCAGAAAATAGATCTGCAGTGAGAGACCACACCATTATTTCCCCTGGCCAACCTCAACCACCCTTGGAGCCCCGAGAAGGGAAGACTACATTTCCTCTGCTGAGAGTTTGCGTTTTCCTGCTAGTGCTCCTGATGGAAACTGGTACTAGTGTTTGCTAAAGTCCCTAAGGCCCTGATGCGGCAGGTAGCTTGGCCATTCATCTGGATCCTCTGAACACCTGCCAGAAATATTTCAGAGGTGGTACATTAGCATCAAAGTTCATTTCTTTCATCTTTAATGTAAGTGAATCCTTGCCTGGGGTTTATTCTCTGCCCTTTATTCCCCTGTAGCTGACCAGAGGGATTTGTGAATTTATAAAACTATGCAACATTATTGTTCCCCAGCCCACTTTAGCAAACCATCCCCCTCCCAGGAACATTGTCCAGGGACAATGGGACCATCTTCCCACTAACCCAACATCTTGTCCCTCTGATATGTTCACTAGGTTCTTTGTGTTTGGGGTTTTTAACCAGTGGGCCCTCATAATAAGGACTGTTCTTCTTTCCACGCATCCAAACATATAGTTCTTCTTGCTTTCCTCTGGATCCTTCTTCATTTTTTCCAGGCCTCCCCACCGACAACCAAAAAAAAAAAAAAAAAAAAAAAAAAAAAAAAAAAAAAAAAAAAAAGACATGAACAATAGGAAAATTTTTAAGCATATGTTGGCTTTTGCTTGGTCTTGATATTTTCAACTTCTGGTCCAGGGCAATTAGAGAGGCTTTGTCACCACTGCATTCTTGAGACTGTAAAGTGGTAAGGCGATATGCTTTCACACATAGCCCAGGACTCCCAGGGTCTGAGTCTCCCCTGGTCGTAGGAAAAGAGGCTTATGAGCCCACAGCAATCTCTGCTCTCTACATGCTCTGCCGCAGATCACCAAGCCCCTCCAGTAAGCAGCCGTGTCCCTTTCACTGTTGGAAATGAGGAGTTGTTTGTAAGAGTGAAAGAAATACGGAATCTACCAAAGAGAATCAAATGTAGTATCACCCTCAGGTTTCCAGATTTCAGCTACCACAGCCTTATCACTTCCTTGTGCCTCTTCAGTCCATCGAAGCCAGATTACTGAACATGCAGCCAAAACAAAACATGAGGTGGGATAAGCATGAGGAAGGAAGACGAGGAAGGCAACATCTTAGGCAAGATTAAGCTACTGCCCCTGACACCTGTCCTTCTCCGCCCTGATTCTGCTCTGTGTAGAGTGGGAGGGGATGCCCTAAGTAAAGGGAAGTGTATCCATCCAGCATGCTGCACCCCAAGGCACTGCCCATGGGTGCAGTTCAGTCAGGAGACAGAGGAAGAGAGGGACACAGCTGTACTCCTGCTCTTGAGAAATACAAATGGGTTTGCTCTCTTTTAGTGGCCCTTGGCTGCAGGACAGTATGTCTATGAGAAGCTGCCTTCTGGCACAGCGCGTTTTCCTGTGGTCCTTCAAGAAAGCTGCCTATGGACTGTGAGAGACAGAAGTCACTCACCTAAGCTGACATTTTTGCTGGTTCACTCAATCACTCAAGTGATATATTGTGGGCATATTTGCCTTACATCTGAAAAAATTCTAGATGGCACAAAATAACACGCTTCAGGGGAGCTAAATGTTGGAGCGCTGAGTGAGCAGAGTGCTGGTGTTGTGACCTCCATGCTTTCCTTGCCTCACTGGCACTCCATCAGCCTTTCCCAGGCACCTGTCTGCTTTCTAGGCTAACGCCTGCCAACAACCTGGGCAGACTTATCACAATCACAGTCTGGTTCATTCTTCTTCAGATGGAGAGTTTCTCTGAGATCCCACTGAAGATACAGTTGGCCTTTCTCACTTAAAATTGAGTGCCAGCCAGCCCACACCCCTCAAAAACTAGATTGAAAAGCTCCTCAAAGACACTGTCCAAGTGTTGGGAAGAGAAAGGTGAGAACCAACATCCAAGTATATTCTGAACAGTAGATGCCAGTGCAGGGAGAGAGAAATATAGGAGCATTCAAAGCCACCTGTCTCTTTTAGAACATGCTTTCCCTCAGGTCTTGGGCTCAGTGGGAAGAGACAGGAAAGTTATGGCTAGTCTTCCATCCCCATGAGCTGCCCAGGCTACCACAGACAGATACACCCTTGCCCCAGGAAAGGAGAGAATAAAGAAGCCTTCCCCAGACCTCACCGTTCCTCATTCCCAAACATCTTGTAAGTCCCAAGGGCACTGGAAGACTTTGTCCTCAGCCAAACACAACTTCCTGTTTCTAAGAAAGGGCAGGGGAAAAAACAGTTGAAAGAGTTTTTGGACACTGGAGATTTTGAGTTTCAGTAAACGCAAATGAATCAGACACATGTGGAATGAATTTCTCCGGAAGAAAAGATGCTGTGAGTTCCTCTTGCTGGACCAGAAAGTGGGAAAGGGGTAGGCTGAGGTAGGAGGCACATCAGAGGCTGAAAGGAGGGAGAAAAGCCATGTGAACATGGGATCAGGGAGAGGGTCCAGTGATGACAAGGGTCAATGTGGGCCCTCCCAAGGCCACATCCTGAACATGCTTATTACTCAGAACTTCTCCATCTCTGAAGTCATAAACTTAAATATCCTACTACCGACCACAATTTCCTATCCTTCCAGATCTCTCACCAGCTCCCATTAAATTTATTCAAGGGACCCCCAGATCTTTGACTACCTCCTTATATACACATTCCTGTGTCTTTATTTCTCCTCTGTCTCCACTTTGTCTTTCCTTGTGCTGCTTTAGATTCCATGTTCCCTCACCTCCACTTCAGTCTTGCCTAATAGCCCCAACTTCCTTGTCCCATTGACATTCCGTGGAGCTCAACAAGCAGAGCCTCACTCCAGAACCCCTCAACTGTCTGCTTCATGCCCAT